AAAAAAAAAAAAAAAAAAAAAAAAAAAAAAAAAAAGAACAAGCTCAAGATAAATTTCACTTGAAGAAAATCAATATAAAACAAGTGGAAACAACTTGATTCTGTAGATATTAATAAACCTGGAGGTGTGGATGAAACTGATGGGATCTTTTGACGTTAGTAACAAACTGTAGAGCTGATCCTGTTTGTCATATTTTAACACAAGTATAGAAAACAGCATTTTTCTTACAAAATAGAAGAAAGCAAAAGTTGTTCCAATTAGAAAAACACAACAGAGAGTTTAACTGTACACCTGTTGACAATACTTAGTAAAATACTGGAAACATTTGAATTCATTGACAAGAGTAATTTAGTTGGAGCTGTTTTGTTAGACTTTAGTTCTGCTTTTCATCATGATTTACTGTTAGATAAACTTATGTATCATAAACTTTCATTGCATACTGTCGGGTGGTTTACAAGTTACCTTTCTCAACGAGAGCAATGTGTATTTTTTAATGGCAGTGTTTTCAACTATAAAAAAATCACAATGTGGAGTTCCACAGGGCAGCTGCTTAGGACCTTTGCTATTTTCTATTTTCACTAATGACCTGCCATCTGTCCTGCAGCGTGCTAAGGCTGTGCTGTATGCTGATGACACCACAATGTATATGTCCAGCTAGGGTTGGGCGATAAATCGATTTAATCGATTAATTCCAATTTACCTTTTATGAAGATTTAATTTTGGGAAAATCTGGATTTTTTTCCCACCAGTGCACTCTTTGGGGCTTCTGTAGTTTAGAGGTCAGCCCACCTGTCCCTCAAGACTCTTGGTACATGACAGTATGGCAGCTGGCAGAGAGGATCTACTTCCCTAAACAGGCTGTGTGTCTTCAGTTTTCTGGAACTGGTTAGGGTTTGCTCATGGTCCTGAGTCTGGCCCGGCTCATGGTCCTGAGTCTGGCCCGGCTCACGGTCCTGAGTCTGGCCCGGCTCACGGTCCTGAGTCTGGCCCGGCTCACGGTCCTGAGTCTGGCCCGGCTCACGGTCCTGAGTCTGGCCCGGCTCATGGTCCTGAGTCTGGCCTGGCTCATGGTCCTGAGTCTGGCCCGGCTCATGGTTCTGACCCAGTTGGGTTGTGTGTTTCCAGGCGGACCCGGCGGTGGTCCTGAGTGACAGCAGCTCTGTGGTGGTCTTCAGTAACAGGATGCAGGACGGCAGTGTTCCCCCCCTGGAGCAGGGCATGGTGGTGGGGCAGCTGGTCCTCGCTGACGCCCTCATCGTGGGCAACTGGAACAACCAGGTTCTGAGCTGCTCTGAGTCCTTCTGGACCAGCAGAACCCCACCTGATCTGATGAGTTTGTTGTTCCTGCAGGTGAAGTTCAGCGAGTTGACCATCGACATGTTCCGCATGCTGCAGGCTTTGGAGAGAGAACCTGTGAACCTGGCCACCCAGACCTCCAAGCAGGGCCCACTGGTCAGTCTTTACTGCGTCACACCTGAGCACCTGTTCTCTACTGTTCTCTACTGTTCTCTACTGTTCTCTACTGTTCTCTACTGCTCTCTACTGTTCCCTACTGTTCCCTACTGTTCTCTACTGTTCTCTACTGTTCTCTACTGTTCTCTACTGCTCTCTACTGACATCTACTGTTCTCTACTGTACTCTACTGCTCTCTACTGACATCTACTGTTCTCTACTGTTCTCTACTGTTCTCTACTGTTCTCTACTGTTCTCTACTGCTCTCTACTGACATCTACTGTTCTCTACTGTTCTCTACTGTTCTCTACTGCTCTCTACTGACATCTACTGTTCTCTACTGTTCTCTACTGCTCTCTACTGCTCTCTACTGTTCTCTACTGTTCTCTACTGCTCTCTACTGACATCTACTGTTCTCTACTGTTCTCTACTGCTCTCTACTGCTCTCTACTGCTCTCTACTGTTCTCTACTGCTCACTACTGCTCTCTACTGCTCTGTACTGTTCTCTACTGCTCTCTACTGTTCTCTACTGTTCTCTACTGCTCTCTGCTGCTCTCTACTGCTCTCTACTGACATCTACTGCACTCTACTGACCTCTGCTGCTCTCTACTGCTCTCTACTGTACTCTACTGACCTCTACTGCTCTCTACTGTTCTCTACTGTTCTCTACTGCTCTCTACTGACATCTACTGTTCTCTACTGCTCTCTACTGTTCTCTACTGCTCTCTACTGTTCTCTACTGCTCTCTACTGACATCTACTGCTCTCTACTGTTCTCTACTGCTCTCTACTGTTCTCTACTGTTCTCTAGTGCTCTCTACTGTTCTCTACTGCTCTCTACTGTTCTCTACTGCTCTCTACTGCTCTCTACTGTTCTCTACTGCTCTCTACTGACCTCTACTGTTCTCTACTGCTCTCTACTGTTCTCTACTGTTCTCTAGTGCTCTCTACTGTTCTCTACTGCTCTCTACTGTTTTCTACTGCTCTCTACTGCTCTCTACTGCTCTCTACTGTTCTCTACTGCTCCCTACTGTTCTCTACTGCTCTCTACTGACATCTACTGCTCTCTACTGTTCTCTACTGCTCTCTACTGTTCTCTACTGCTCTCTAATGTTCTCTACTGCTCTCTACTGCTCTCTACTGTTCTCTACTGCTCTCTACTGTTCTCTACTGCTCTCTACTGACATCTACTGCTCTCTACTGTTCTCTACTGCTCTCTACTGACCTACTGCTCTCTACTGCTCTCTACTGACCTACTGCTCTCTACTGACCTACTGCTTTCTACTGACCTACTGCTCTCTACTGTTCTCTACTGCTCTCTACTGTTCTCTACTGTTCTCTACTGCTCTCTACTGCTCTCTACTGTTCTCTACTGTTCTCTACTGCTCTCTACTGCTCTCTACTGTTC